GAATCCTGCCAAGTTTCAAGGAGATAAGTGCAGGGGTTTCTGGGAAACTGCACCTCAAACTGTTCAGAGCAAAACTTGTGTCACTTGTAAGCGTGAAGGCACAGAGGGAGCTCAGTTCAAAGAATGATTTTTATGTTGTTTTCTCGTACCTTCCCCAGAGCACTGAGCTGGGAAGGGACCTCAGGGAAGAATCACAGACACTGGCCAGCTACACAGTCAATATGAGAGTAGTCCTTCTCCCCTCTTCCCCCTCCCTCTCCTTAATTTCTCTTTAGCTGCAAGCAAGCCCAGCTTCAAAACTCACGTTTCAAAACTTTTGAAACATTTTGACTGCCCTGGTTTCCTTTCAAGGCTGTTTCAAAACCTTTCATTTCGATTTCTCTGTTTCGAGCTCAAAACAAGTCGAACCAGCATCAAAACCAAACAGCCAGCAGAATTTTGCACAGCCCTACTATCTATCTGGCTCAGTCTCACACCCCCTCCCCACCTCAACAGACACCTTAGCTTCGCTTCTTGCCCCAATCTATCCTTCCCAGGAGGAATCTCCCAAATTGGTTCCTCTCTGCATTCAGGGTAAATTACTTCCTCCCCATGATGCCTGAGGAAATTATTGTGATCCCAGGAGACACAGTCTCATAAAGCTCTGCTGCTTGAAGCCCCATTGAAAAGCAAAAGCAATTCCAGAAGCTTTGGTCTGCCCCAGCAGACCTGACCTGGACAATTCTCATTAAAGGCAAGATGTATGTACAAACTGCAACATTTTAAATGGTTCTAACTTGAGTGGATTTTCATGTGAGCATAAAGTACATCATTGACACCAGGATAACCTTTCACCCTCATCAAATGTCAATCTGGTACTGTACTCCAAAGTACAAGTGCAATAGAGCTTCTTAAGAAAACGTTTTGTAATTTTTTTAACATGATTAAAATGCCTTAGTTTCAACCTAGTTACAAGGGTGTAATCTCATTTTCCAAAAACAGCTGCATTTTTCCCATGTAGAGGAGTGGGGAAGCATCTTGAGGCATATAGCTGATATGGAATATTTCAGTCCAGATAGTTAAATTTGGGCAAGGTTGTAAATAATGAGAAATACGAGATTTAAATAAAAACTGTTGGGTATATAGGCACTGATGCACTTGTTGCTTTTACTTAAATTTTAGCTGTCATATGGCCTAAAACTAAAAAGTAACTGAAATATCAACTCTTTTTAATAGTATAATTGCAGTCCTCCTAGGTGATGGAAACTAAGGAACACTACAAGTGAAACCATTGACCATTTTTATCACTTCCTGTGTGGATTATACATACCTTATCTGTTGAAATCAGCCTGCTAGTACAGTCTGGTTAGTAATACCCACACAGACAGATTTATGTAGTGAAGACTTAAAATTGTAACTGCAGTTATCATCTTGACAACTGAATTTGGATGAAACCTTCTTTTAATGCCAGTTTACTGATTTCGTCTAGGATTGCTTTAAAGACAAGGGACCCCGTTGATGCTCTTCCATGGAGTACCATGCAAAGTACCCATTTTATCATGGGAAGATAACAAGAGAGTCCTGTGAAGAGTTACTGACCAAAAAAGGAAAGAATGGTTGTTTTTTGGTACGAGAAAGCGAGAGCGTGGCAGGCGCCATATGTCTATGCGTCTTGTAAGTATTGTGCTTACATATTTAACTATTATGTGCATTTTAAGATAGTTGCAAGAGTGAATATATCACAAGGGTGAACATAATACTGAAGTAGAAAAATATTAATATGCTGTATATCTCTGGTTAGGGATTCTCTAGAATCTTTCTCTGGATCTCAAAGTACCATATAAAGATTTAATTAAAAGCTCTGCCTCACTGTTGTGAGACAACTTAGAAACAGAGGTAAAGTGATCTGTCCAAGATCACAGGTCAAGTCAGTGGTTAGCTGGGCATAGAATAAGACAATGTCTAGCCGTTGGCTTTAACTGTTCTGTTGCTTTTTCTTACCTGTGTATTTTACAGGAGAGCAGCAAAAAACTTAGAAACTTGAAAAGCAGAGGCGGTGAATCAAAAGCAAGCAAGCCTCTGAGTGTCATACGCAGCACCAGGGTTTATTTTTTCAAAGGAAATGATTTTTGGCTTCTCTTTCAGAATTGAAAAGAAGAAGTAGAAGCATAACAATGGGTGGGTGAGTGGGCCATGAATCCTAAACACTGCTTAAGGACATGGGGGCGGTGGGGGGGGACTGGAATTGAAAATAGGGGCCAGCAGCCAGAGAAGCTGGGGGGAGATGAAACTTCTTTTTTAGTTGCCAAAAATGATTATTTAAATGGCTGCTTGACAAGTATTGGAAACCAAAAAAAGTGACATCCACCTCCTGAGCAGCAAACCGCCCTTTCTTATGCACCATGTGCCCTTACCACCCAGGCAATTCTGGCCTGTTAGACCTCAGGAAAGAGGACTTAAAAGTTCAGTTCTTGTCCTTTTTACATATTTACCTTTCCAATATAATCAGTAGGTCTGCTACTTGCATGTTCTTGTGCATGTTCTTGAGTCACAAATAAGTAAGCCTGTTCTCAGTTTTCCTTGTACTGAGCTTGCGTGGCTTTCCATTCCTGTTGATGACCTTCCTTTTTGGATATAGCACAATAAGCTTTGAATACCACACTGAACTAATTCCAAAATTCAAGGAACTGTTCTAGGCATCAGTAAAGCAAAGTCCTATTGACACTGGTGAAAGTTAGGAGAAAAAAATAATGGCAGAAATGAAAGAGACATGGATTTCCTGACATATAGCTATGTGAGGAATGGGATAGATGGAAAAGGAATATAAGGGGAACTGAGGCACAGAGCCCTTGGCATAGAGAAGAGAATATGGTCATTGGGAGCAAGGGAAAAAATAGAGTCCATCTCTGGCATGGGAGTCAGCTGGGGATCCTAGCACTGGGGAGAAGGGGGAATGAAGTGTATAATGACCCATAGCTGGCAGGGGGAAGAGCACAGGAGGAGCAAATATTTTAAATAGGGGTTTGAGAGGGAGGCACACAAGGAGATTTTGGGGAGAATGGAGGAATACAAGTTACTCTTAGGTGGATGCAAAAGTGTGTAATAATGTAGGCTAACTCCAGTTAGCATTTTTAGTGCTTTGAGCTGCTTGTACACACCAGGGGGGTTTAATTTTCCCTAAACTGAAACAGTGCTTTTTTTAAACACTGCTTCAATTTAAGGAGAATTAAACTGAATTAAACCCCTGTGGCATTTACACAAGGGTGAGGGCCCAATCCTTACCTACCTCTTCAGCCCAGGCAGTCCAAGGGAGCACCACAGCATGGAGGGAGCGCTGTTCCCCAACCCTTCCCGCTCCCCTTCAGTTGCAAAGGGAAAAACCAGGTCCCTGCAAAGCTCAGGCAGGCAGGCAGGCTCCAGGGAGAAAAAAAACAGATCAGGCTCACTGCTTTTTTTTCTCCCCTTCAGTGGAGTCTGCCTGCATGGGCTGCCTCTAGGTCCCACAGCCCCTGAGCTGTGCAGGGCCCACCAAGCCCCAAGTACGTCGGCTTCCAGTTTCCCGTGCACTGTTGCGCTTTGGCAGGTAGCAAACTAAACACCCCAGAGGTGTTTTATCTTGCTACGTAGCAAAGTCATTTAAAGTGGAATATGCCATCTAGTGTGCAAACAGCAATGCCATTAAAGTGGTGCACAAGGGAATTTAAGCCACTTTAAAGACCAATTTTGTGGTGTGTGCAATGGCCGATAGGGAGACAGTGGATGTGATGCTGCTTCATGTGTCAACAGAATTTGTAACTAAATTGCAGGAAAAATTCTAGTTGAAGTTAACTATGGTACTTCATGGTACATAGATCACTCATGATGTGAAGAGACAGTGGGATTACAAGGATGTAAACAGAGTACACTTTAGCCTGTTAGACAGTGTATCCTTTATAATGGTGCCTTAGCCCAAGAAATCTAACCCTAACTCTCTCCTGGTTGAATGTGCAGAGCTAGTCTAGCAGTTAGAAAAGTTCTATTGTTAATTGCAAAATTAGGACAATTTTATTATGTTGCTGATCTATTAGAGAACATACTCGTTCAAAGTCGCACAATGTTCAGTTATAACGTTGTTGGGCTCCCGCCTGCTAGTAAGTAACTACTGTGATGTAATTGGATTTGCTTAACATCATCTCGCTTAAAGTCGCATTTTTCAAGAATGTAACTACGACGTTAAGCGAGGAGTAGCTGTTGATGTGTCCATGTTTATCATACTAGGACCATGGTTCCATAGTTAAGGCTGAGTCAGAAGTTTGCAGTTTAACAGGAGGTTAATTATTTTGTTTTTCATAAATTATAATAAAATGACCCAATATAAAATATGGAACAAAAATTGATGATTTGAAATGTTCCTGGTTGCTTGATGAAAATTAGGTGGACACCAAAAAGAAACAAATTTCAAAATGAATCAGAGCTATGTCTCACTTTTTATAACCCCTTATATTATTTTTAAGGAAACAAAACCATTTGGAGATCTCTGCATCTGTCCATGCACTGATCCACTACAGTATCAGTAATATTTTCAGAAGGCAGGACAGTTCATTAGTTTCACAGTTTTTAATCATTTAAGTAACTGAGAAAGGTGCCAAGACAAACTTATGATCCTATCCTATCTAGCAATGACAATGCACTACTGCTATTTGCTATGAATTAGGAAAGAGAGTGTGTCTATTCTAGTGAGTACTTTGGGAAGGAACAAATGGAAACCAAGAATTTCATTCCCATGTTTTTCTACTTGTTTTACAATCTCTTGCACCATCCTAAGTAAAGTATATGTGTACAATAAATACATTATCTTGTCTTTAATTTTGCATTTGTGGTGCTCAAACTGTTAGTGACTATGGAAATAGCGTGGTCTGTGGCTGAATAATATCTAGTTGTGTATACCCATGTGTTAGCTTGTGACTGGATGCTTTGAAGAATAATCCATGTATAACAATGTATGTTTTCAGGGAAGCTTCAGATTTGCATACCCAGACATTTATTCCCCCTCTCAATTGGCCTGACCAGCTAACTGATATTGCATAAGGGCTATTAGATTTCTATTTGATAGCTTTGGAATAGCTTTGTAAAAAAACAAGTTGTCTTGCTCACCTTTTTGAAATAACAACACATAGTAGACTGCTTATGATTTTTTGTGCTTATTTCCCAAATGCAACACCAAGTATATAAAGATACTTGCAATGGTAGTCTTTCTAATGAATAGAAATGATTTTGTCCAGTAGCAACAGGAAACAACCATACAAAACCAGAAGATAAAACTGTAACATTTTACTCGTCTTGCATCATGCGTGAAGTTGGTCCAACTCTTCTTCTGAATGAGAAAGGAGAAAAAGCTTTGAAAGTTTTTATGAGACCATGTGCTGGACTAGAAATCTTCAACTCTCAGAGGAGTGTTGATGCAACTCTACCGCTCAGTGCATATAGCCCATGGGCACTTAATCATCAATTAGTCTAACCCTGCCTACAGGAATTCTGGATGATAACATGAGAATATGTCCGCTAACCACCTGAGCCCTGTCTATCCTAGTAGTATGCTATGTGCTGGTGCAGCAGTGGCAGATTTCCCCAGGTGGCCTGATACAGAAGACCTGAAAGCCTTGGGCCTTAGGCCCTGTACTTTTATCAGACTCAAGTATGGGAAAAGATTCTGCGTGTGTCTCCTCAGCTGAATGCACCAGGACAAGAAACCCCTTAGCACTCCAACTGCCTCTCAGGTTACTGTATTGCCTGATTCATTTGATTTCATGGTAGCTCTTGCAGTACTTTCTGACTATATAAAACTCACTCCGTGAATTGGTTTGAGCCAAACACACAAAGTAATTCTGAGTTAAAGGGCTAACGTTCTAGTTAATGCCGGGTTGGGCATTTTATACCTTTCCTATGTCCACCTTCTTCTGTTCTCAGCCTTCTTTTGAAATATTTGATTTTAAAATAAGTGTTAACTATACTACTGACTGATTAGTCATACTTGGTAGTTTTGTGTGGCCACCATAGGAAAAATTAAAGAGGGGCTGTCTGAAAAAATAAGTCAGGAGAGAGATTAAATTTAACTCATAAAGTCATGTCAGCCTCAAAATGACATGTTGCTTCACCCTTGTTGGAAACTGTTAAAAAGAATTCAGAACCTCAATGTTTCAGGCCTTAGGGTAAAAGATACTTTCAATCACACTGGGTAGGTAGAATATTATCTCGCATCATAAAACAAACTGTGAGTGGAGAGAAAATCTCACACATCGTGGTCAGCATTGTTATCCTTTCCTGTACGTTGTCTCCTTCAGCAAGGCTGCATGAGCGATTCGATCTCTGCCTCTGGTTATCATGTACAGTGTCCTCATGGCAGCCTGTTCCAGTTCTAGTTCCACATATACATCTTGAATCCAAGGCAACCAGATGCAGTCCAGGTTTAACTGGCCTCCCTCCCTATACTCAAGAGTGCCTAATGTCCATAAGCCTTGTGTGTAACGTTGAATGGATGTGTTACAAGGTCATTCACTAGTGTAATCATTGCTTTTCATCAAAATTAATATCTAATTTGTTTCTTATTTTCTGAAAGTTCCTTTGGAAGCATCAAGGACTGTCACCGTGCCCTGGGCAGAGGTGGTGCATGGGGCAGCAGCTGCAACTGGACAGCAGCAACAGTTGTTGAGCCAGAAGCACAGCCAGAAGCTACTACCCCTCTGACCCCTCAGATCGGCACCTGGGGTTGGTGCCCTTGTTGCTCCTCCTCAGTTTATGCTACTGTGCATCTCACACAATGAGAGGTCTATATCTTGCCTTACATCCTACCTTGCTTCTAAGCAAAGGACTATCATTTTGGAAGATCACTGCTCTCATCTGGATGTGTTAATTTGAAACCAACTTTGTTTTCTCTTTAAATAGAAATTCATGGTGCAAGGACTCTTTTGTATTAGTCTTTCTTGTGGCAGTTGGCTGTTTTGGGGGAGTAGAAGCTCTCTAGGGACTGCTTGATGCTCGTACCCACCTTATAATGTGACAAGGGCACGGTGAACATCCTGGGAGAACTGGAACATATCAGAGTGTTTAAGAATTTATTGAAAATACCCTCTGTTCAGCATCTCCCCAATCAAAGTATAGCTTCCTAAGTGACTTGGAAGTTGACAAGATAGTCAGGGAATACAGAGAACAGATTAAAATGGTAATGCACGGATAGGCAAAAGAAAGGAATAATATCTAGTTGTGTATACCCATGCGCTAGCTTGTGACTGGACGCTTCAAAGAATAAAAATGTCTATTTTCAGGGAAGCTTTAGATTTGCATACCCTGACATTTATCCCCTCTGTCAGATGGCATGACCAGCTAACTGACATTGCAGAAGGGCTATTAGGCTTATATTTGATTTTTTGCTTGATAGTCAGTCTGCTGCAATGGGACTGGAAGAAGTGTTCCTGGTGTTGCAACAGTGGCAATTTTAATCATTATCAAATAGGTTTCTTGATAAATTAAAGGTGAGTTATATCAGGATGCCACCTTATTCATCATAGTATTTTCCAGTTCAGACACATATTGTTTGTGAGGGAAAAAATTTAAGGGTCTGTGTCAAACTGAGTCCCTTCCTTCCTGTATTACCAGTGATAAAAATTCTGCAGCTCTCAGACACTTATATAGTCCCCCTCCCTTCAAATTATGCCTTTCATTACATCTGTGCAAAATTACAGTTTTATTTGGAGATTACTCAGGTGTAATATAGTGGCTATTGATGGTGAACAAGAATTTTGTTGTAAATTCATTGGAGCAGGGCCTATTATCATGCTCTATATTTATACCATGCTTAGCACAATGAGGTCCTGGTGCATGATCCAGGGCTATGAGGTGCTATTGTAACACAAATGTTTTGTACGGAATAGAATCTTGCTCATTTTTTGTGTATTTCTATATTACATTGCCTGCTCTGGCTTCAGCTTGCATAGACTTACCTGAGTTAGCCTTAAAGTAGCTGGCAGCGTGGTCACAACTGCATGAAGCTTGCCACAAGCTAAAAAACTTGACAAAATGGGATAAATCTTAGGACAAGTAATCACACAGAGTTCTTTGTTGCTGCAGCTGTCTCATACCAGTTCAATTATATATATACCTGGCGTGTCTGTAGTGACTGCAGTGTAGATATGGCCTTAGCGGCATTGTGTGCACAGTTAAAAAACAGCAGCTAATCCAACAGATATGTGAACACACACACACCCTCACACCCACAAGCTGTCTTGTATAGATAAGATGCTCTTTTAATATGTTCATCTTGAGTAATACTTGACTTTTCTGACCACAGTCTAAGGCAACCACATCAGAAGAACGGATGTTTATATCCTATCATCTGAAACTCTAGACTGATCAACAATGGTCTCAGAGCAGTTTGGATAACTCTCCAATATATTAAACAAGTATGAAATCAATGTGGGTCCAAAACTGAGCAGCCTTCCTTTTCCAAAGAAATATTCTGTTATTCTACCAGACACAGATGGGGCCTGTGAATAAGTGCCTTCTACTTAAGCATTAAGGGTTTTGGCATTTCAGAATTGGTCCTTTTAATTTTAAAAAGGGATTTTGAGAAATAGTGGTATTATAAATATCCATTTTAAAAGATTTGGTGCATTTTTTAAAGACCTGTTACATACGTATATTCATAAGAGGTATGTGAGTGTGTGGGTGTATATAACATAGATGGATTTAAGTTACAGAATTGCCTCTGACTTTAGTTTTGAGATGCCTAACTAAACCAATAAAATGGCTAGCTGTTTTCCAACCTACTGTTTGTACAAATTATATACTCTAGAAAAGATTTAGTGAGACTCTAGAACAAAATTTAATGAGCCCACAGTTGTTGATGGCAACATGTTATTAATAGCAGTCATTTCTTGAGATTATTGAACTGGAATTTTAATCTTTTAGTGATTTTGTTTTGTATACTGTAAATTCTCTGGCTAAAACGAGGTCAGACCATTGCAATTCCTGGATTGCTGATGACAAACATAATTTATGCAAGGATATCTCTTTACAGTTTTGAAAGACTGGTTTACACTTATCGGATCTTCAGGGAACATGAAGGAAATTTGAGGATTGAGGTAAGAGCATGTCATTTCATCTGGAATGGAAATGACTATTTAATTTCTTTCTCATATGAGAAGATACCTATATAGAATCTTTCCCATTATAATATTTTTCCATGCTTGCACTCTACCCTTGATTTCTTAACAAAACATCTGTCTTTGCCCATCAGCTTAGAAGTAACTGCTATCTCTACATCACTTTTTTGTAACCTAAGCATATTGCTCACCTTTTAGCCTGGCTCACCCATGATCTACAGATCTGGCCACCTTTTCTGACAGCCTAAAAATCTTTTGCATTTGCCTTCCTCTCTGCAGTCTATTGGAATGCTCTTTTGGTTTACCAAAAACTCTGTTAAGTGACCTGTAAACAAATACATTAGTGCACAATCATAAGAGCTTTTGCATTTTGGAACAACTCCTGTCATTTTTTTAAAAGATTCACATGTAATCCTGGGTAAATCTAACGTTTGGAGAGGTACAAAAATGGTAGCTCTAGAAACTTATGTTGGTTGTGTGCTCCTAAAATTGGAGGGGGCATAAGAGCATGGGCCCCTCTATGCCTCCATACAGAAAGTCAAAAAGCCCAAGGCTGAATTGATTCACTCTTTGCAGGTTGGTCTAAACTGCATAGATTGAAGTGATAAGCAAGTGAACAGACAGTCACTTTTGATTCTGGAAATGTAGCCACATGCCTGCAGTGGCTCAGGCCAGAAGGTGGGGGTGCTAGAGCACACCTCCCTTTTGGGCTGGAACAGACAGCTTGGGCCAAGGCTAGCCAGCCCACCCTGCAAGGAGGTAGGGGGGTTGCGGCAGATGTGCAAAACATCCTGGGATGCTGGGGGACTGTGAGTTAACGTGAATCTGGAGGGGATCTGGGACACAAGTTCAATAAAACAATTTAACCTAAATGAGTTAAGTCTGCTACTATATCCATCCAGGTTTATCTTAAACCAGTTTCAGCGATTTTGATGTGCACTCAGCTTCTGTTGTGTTACAGATTTGAACTGGTTACTGATCATGAATACCAGTTTGTGTCACTTCTGTCCCTAGCCCATACATGCAGATAAAGGTGTGGTGAGATCTAATGCACGGTCCACACATTTGAGCCTCCTGCCATGCCACATGTGCATGGCAGGAGGTGTGATTATGGGATAGTGTGTTCAATCCCATCACACTTAATTGCCAGTGCAGGGGGAGCCTGATTTCAGGCTCCCACTGCACCAGCAAGAAGCAAGTTCCCAGGGGTGGAAGCTTCCTCAATTGAGGGGCTACCAGCCATGGGGGCACCCCATACACTCCTGAGGCTGGGAGATTGCAGCAGCCACGATTCTCCAGCCCTGGGGGTTTCACATACTTCAGGGCAGCTGCACCCCCCTGGCTGCCAGGATCCACAGTTAGCAGCTGCTGGGGCCCCTCACTCGCAGCCCTGACTGGGCATGTTGTATCCCTGGGTTGGGAATTCTGTCAGCTGAGACAGGGAGGGGAGACCCTGCTACACTTGAAAATTAAAGCTGGATACCAACCAGCTATAAAGTTACTACATATTTTCAAGGTCTAACTTTATAGCTGGTTGGAGCTTTTTATCATGTGATTTGTGTTTTGCACACGTAGCTGGTATGAAGGTACTTGTGCAATTAACCAGCTAATTGCACAATACCTGTAATATGTAGACGGGGCCTACACATTATCATAATATGCAGACTTTACCTTGATCCAGACCTAGAGAGAGGACAGTTTAAAATGTTTTCCTGCCTCTCCTTGTTTCTTCTAAGACTTCCAGAATGTTTATTAATAAGAATCAATTGTAGCGACATCTTTGTTTCCAGATAAGTGGAGTAGGGCCACTAAATTTGCTTCTCAGAAGCCACTAACTATAAGCTATCAGAACATAACAACTTTGGATCATTATCATGTTAGCTTGGATTCAAGTCAGCAACCTTCAGATAGGTGCTACATTCTATTACCACTTTTTCACGATTTATTGAAAAAATATTGTAATTATTCAATTCCTTGAATCACAGCAGCTGCTTTTCTGGAGGTTTTTTTCTGTGTTTTCCCCCACTGAATAGTAATTCAAGCATTTTTTTAAACTGAGTTTCTTTCCAAGGTTTGGCAATAAATGCAAATCAAAATTGTCCTCATGGTTGTTTGAGAGGCATTCTAAGCGAGGGCTTTCTTGGTTTTTAAAATAATACAATTGGATATTTATTTATTTATCATAGTTTCATAGATTTAGGGTCGGAAGGGACCTAGTAGATCTTCTAGCCCGACCCCCCGCCAGGGTGGGAGAACAACAAAACCCCAAAACAAAAACAGGACTCAAATGAGTCCAGCCAGGTAGGCATCCAGCCTCTTCTTAAAGACCCCCAGGGTAGGGGCCAGCACCACTTCCCTTGGAAGTTGGTTCCAGCTCCTAGCCGCCCTAACTGTGAAGTAGTTTTTGCGGATGTCCAATCTATACCTCCTCTCCATCAACTTGTGCCCATTACTCCTTGTTATGCCAGCGGGCGCTAGGGGAAACAGCGTCTCCCCCAAACCCTTCTGGTCCCCCCTAGTGAGTTTATAGACGGTCACCAGGTCCCCCCTCAGCCTTCTCTTGTGGAGGCTGAATAGGTTCAGGTCCCGCAGTCTCTCACTGTAGGGTCTGCCCTGTTGTCCCCGGATCATGCGGGTGGCCCTCCTCTGGACCCTCTCCATGTTGTCCACATCCCTCTTGAAATGGGGCGCACAGAACTGGACACAATACTCCAGCTGTGGCCTGACCAGCGTCGCGTAGAGGGGGAGGATCACCTCCTTGGCTCTACTCGAGATGCACCTGTGGATGCACGACAAGGTCCGGTTAGCCCTGCCAACCATGACCTCGCATTGTCGGCCCATGTTCATCTTGGAGTCAATAATGACTCCAAGATCTCTTTCTGCCTCCGTGCTCTCAAGTAGGGAGTTCCCCATTGTGTAAGTGTGCTGCTGGTTCCTACTGCCCAAGTGCAGCACCCTGCACTTGTCCGTATTGAAACGCATCCTGTTCCTGTTAGCCCACCCCTGTAACCTATCCAGATCCTTCTGCAATCTCTCACTCCCTGCTAGCGTGCTCACCTCCCCACAAATTTTGGTGTCATCAGCGAATTTAAACAGGTTACTTTCCACCCCATCATCTAGATAGCTGATGAAGAAATTGAACAGCGCAGGCCCCAGGACCGAGCCCTGGGAGACTCCGCTACCCACCTCCCCCCAGGTCATTCTTAAGGCCCAGGTTCTGCATAAAACACACTACAGACACAGAGGTCCACCTACCTGGAGCTCCTGAAAGGATAAGGGCTTGCTAAAATAAAAAGAGCAGTAGTGTAACCAGGGGTGGGAAAGCAGGGCACCAGCCCTAGGTGCTAGTTTAGAAGGGCCACAAGAATTGTGCCTGATGCTTCTTGTGGCCCCTTGGCCATTGCTGTCCAAGGTGAAGAAATTGTTTGTTATGCCTGTGAAAAAAAAAAGAATTTGTATTTACTGAATCATATTTAAAAACCTAAGAACTCCTTGTTTCTGCTGTCATGGGCAAAGCTCCATTGTAATATATGCTGTCTGAATGTACAGTGTCAGTCCCTTTTCCTCTGTCTCAGGGTTACAGACTGCTTTGTATGTTTAGATAGACACCCATAAGCAGTGCTATTAACTGAGACTGTGATAGATGGTCATCATCCCTATATGCTGGGGCTGGGGATTTTGAGAATTAAGCTAAGTAAAATATTAGTAACCAATATTAATGGCAAAAATTCCTCTTACTTCCATGTTATAGAATCAGGTCCTGGATAAGAAGGATGTGGTTGCTAACCATATTATCTGAGGACCAGTTTTGCTATGCCAGTTCTCAAGGTTTTTATACAAGTGCCATGAGGTTTATTATTTGTCTTAGAATGCCAGCTCCTGGCTTTCATTTAGAAAAAAGAGATTCAGTTCTTCAAAGAACAGGTTGCAAAATAACAGCACAACTTAAAGGCTGTGATGCTAGAAGACACAAGGGGGGAAAAAACCCCAAATTATTTATTTATCCACTTTTAAGCCAATCTGATAACTTGTACATGCCTGTGATTTGGAAATACTTTTATCAGGGAATAACTCCATGCATTCACTTCATCGCTACAGTTCTCAAAAACCCTATCCACTCCATCACACTATTCTGCCCTTGAGCTGGGCATAACTAATTCAGAAGTCTTCAGTGGAATTCATAGTAATCAGCAAAAGAGAATCCTATGAACTGGACTGCTTGGGAGACCTGTTTTCTGGACTTGACTGTTGATCTCCTGAAACATTTGCTTGTTAGAGATACCACTTTCATCATAGTAGAATCTACAGGGACTGTTTGTAAGGTCCATAGTGTGCCTAACAGCATTGTCATAATATATTAACATTTCCTCTTTGTAAATGCAGATAAAACTTATTCAGATTAGTGGCAACTTCATATAAAAGGGAAAGGATGCTCAGCAAAGAAATAAATGACTATGATTGATTCCATTTAAAAAAAAAATTTCTCCAGGAGTTTTTACGTTTTCATTAAACATTTTTCTGTTGAAATATTTGTTGAAACTTACCCTGTTTCTGGTGATGATGAATTTTCCATGTTGAACAAGTATGCAGGTTCAGGGGACTGGACTCGATAGTCTGGGAGGCCCCTTCCAGTCCTGTGTTCCTATTACCTTCAGAGATCAGTGTTTTCACTTTTTCTTGCAGACTTCTGGAGGTGTTCCCCAGCAGTCCTTCAAAACTTTAAAGGATTTAATATACAAGTATCAAAAGCCAAATCAAGGACTAGTGACCCATCTTCGCTATCCAGTAAAAAAACAAAACCCATCAAGGAGATTAAGGAAAACTATGGGATATGCAGAAAATGTTTATGATGGTAAGAAGCTGATTTTTGTCTCTTTACAGTGGTCATTGGCATTTCTGAGAATGAATTCTCCTAATTAATTCTGTGAGCATGCATAGTACAAACAGAAGTGCTGTATGTTTCTCTTACTTCTTTGCCTTTGTGTATCAGCATTATGATGAATCATGCTGAAGAGGAAAGGGGCTGTCTGTCCTTAGCTTTTCTGAAACTGCCAATGAAAACACTGAGGCCAACATAGAGTATAGACAGATGTAGTAATTGTGCTGTTATCAATGAATACTGGTACAAGCTGGTAGAATGAAACTGTTGGTCTTGTAAAAGTGTAGAAAAACAGCTTTTACTAGCTTCTTATTCAGGGTCAAAGCTGGGGAGCTTTGGGGGTTCATGCACAAGTAACAATTAAAGAGAAACAGTTCCTATGCCCTCCTGAGCAGCTGCACTTCCCCGAGCAACCTTTAAAAGCAGCTAAAATGTTTGTTTGTCCATACCCATAATGGTAACTCTTATAACATCATAAGTATTCTTAAATTCTGTGTTGAAAATGGGTGTTGAAAGAGGGATGTGGGCCAGTGATAAGGGTGAAGGCCTGGGACCTGAGAGATACACATTCAATTGGTATTACCAGTGACTTTGGTTTGGATTTAGGCAAGTTTTTGTTTTTAGCTTCCCAATTATAAGCTGAGGATAGTGTATATCCCTTTTATGCAAGGATATTGAGAGGATCAATATCAATTATGTTGGGAAGAAGGGTCGGGGTGCAGCTCTCTGCTTAGGAGCAGTACACTTCCCTTCAAACTGGTTCTTTAACCATGGAGGGTGCCTTGAAACCCTCTGGGTTAAAATACGGGGGAAGCATGGGGAAGGGGATATACTCATAGGAGTCTATTACAGATCTCCTAATCAAGAGGAAGAACTGGATCTCAAATTCAATAGGGAACTGGCCAAGGCTGCATGTTCCCAATGTATGATCATCATGGGAGACTTCAACCTCCCAGATAACTTGTGGGAAGAGCACACGGCCAAGCCTGACCGGTCATGTAACTTTCTCGCCTGCACTGATGACTTGTACCTGACGCAAGAGGTCTGTGGGCCAACTAGGGGAGAGGCACTGCTGGATTTGGTTCTGGCAACAGAGAATGATCTGGTGAGTGATCTGAGGATCAAGGGCAAGCTTAGTGACAGCGACCATGAACTGATTACTTTCTCTGTCCAACAGAGGGTGGGCAAATCCCTCAGTAAAACAGAAATCCTCAACTTTGGAAGGCTGACTTTCACAAACTCAGGAGACTGGTCAGTCAGGCACTAAGGGACCATGGTCCCCTAAGAAAGGGAGTCCATGAGGAATGGTTGTTCCTAAATAACTCAGTCCTCAAGGTGCAAGGGAAGTCCATCCCATCCTTCAGGAAATGCAGTCAGAAGGCAGGGAAGATCCCTTGGTGCAACAGGGAACTTCTGGGTCTCCTGAAACTTAAAAGAGAAGCCTATACCAGATGAAAAACTGGAATCATCACCAAGGAGGACTACTCAGCACTAGCCCATACCTACAGGGAGAAGTCCAGAAAAGCCAAAGCAGTAACCAAACTCAGGCTAGCCACCAGAATCAAGGATAACAAAAAGTCATTCTTCAGATATGTGGGAAGTCAGAGGAAGAATAAAAGCAACATTGACCCCCCTGTGAGATCAAATGGGGCAGCTGATGTCTGACGCCCAAGAAAAGGCCAATCTCTTAAAGAATTATTTGCATCAGTTTTCCATTCGCCGGAGGGAGTCATGCTGTCAGACAGGACACAAAGCATCCAAGGCTCAGGAGATGGGCCCTCAATTGACGTAGATCAAATGAGAGAACACCTTGAGAGGCTTGACATCCATAAGTCCGTTGGCCCAGGCAGATTGCACTGGAGAGTCTTAAAAGAGCTGGCAGACATTATAGTATGCCCTATGTCCAAGATATCTGAAAGCTTGCAGTGCTTGGGTGATGTACCGGAAGACTGAAAAAGAGCCAACATTGTCCCATCTTCAAGAAAGGGAGGAAGGAATATTCAGGGAATTACAGACATATCAGTCTGATGTCCATCCCTGAAAAGATCCTCGAGAAAATTATCAAGGGATCCATCTGCAACAGGCTAATGGAAGGCAACCTACTGAATGCCAGCCAACATGGTTTTATTACTGGAAGGCCCTACCTGACCATCCTCATCTCCTTCTATGACCAGGTGATGCATTACCTGGAGAAGGGAGATGAGGTTGATGTCATTTATCTGGATTTCAAGAAAGCCTTTGCCTTGGTCTCCCATGTTGTCCTCATGACCAAGCTGTGGAACTGTGTCCTCGACCATCTCATGGTCCAATGGCTGGGGAACTGACTCTGGGGTCGGACCCAAAGAGTGCTAGCTGATGGGAACAAACCAATGTGGCACAAGGTTACCAGTGGAGTCCCCCAGGATTCATTGCTCAGGCCAGTACTCTTAAATATCTTCATCAATTATCTGGATTCGGGTGCCAGATGCAGACTGGCAAAGTTCGCGGTCGACATTAAACTATGAGGGAAGGCAGTCACGCTGGAGGACAGGCTGGGAATACAGGCCGATCTGGACACGCTTGCAAAGTGGGTGGACCAAAACCTGATGGCATTCAAAGTAGAGAAATGCAGGGTACTCCACCTTGGAAGAAAAAAACAGCACTCTACTTATAGGCCCGGCAGTGCTATGCTCACTAACACCGTAACCGAAAAAGACTTGGGGGCTCATGTTCACAAGGTGAACATGAGCCACAAATGTGATGCCATGGCCAGTAAAGCAAACCACACTCTGGCATGCATTCACAAATGCATCTCAAGCAAAGTCAGGGGCGTCATCCTCCTGCTTTACTCGGCCTCAATGAGGCAGCAGCTGGAGTACTGCATCCAGTTTTGGTCCCCCCACTTCAGGAGGGACTTGAATAAGCTTGAGAGAATCCAAAGGAGATCCAACTGTATGATGAAAGGCCAAAAGAGTAAGCCTTACGAGGAAAAGCCGAGGGACATGGAACTCTTCAGCCTGGTGAAGAGAAGGCTCAGGGGGGCTTGGTGGCTGCCTATAAGTATATAAGAAGTTTTTTCTTATATCGAGTCTGAATCGGTCTTCTAGAAGTTTGTGGCCGTTAGACCTAGTTATCCCTTCCGGAGCCCTGGTGAACAGCTGTTCTCCCAGATCCTGATGCACACACTTTATATACTTTCTGTTTCCCTGCAGGCAAGCCCAGCTTGAGCTTCAGAACTGGAAATGTTTTGAAACTTTTGAAACATTTTGACTACCCTTGTTTCATTTCAAAGCGGTTTCAAAGCCCTTCGTTTGGTTCTGATTTCACTGATTTGAGCTCAAAACAAGTCAAAACAGCATCAAAGCAGAACAGCAGGCAAAATTTGGCGCAGCCCTTATGTTTGGTTCCCTAATTGGGACAATTAGCAGTGGCGCACCTACATGCCTGCCGGACCCGGACAGGGACCACACAGCTGCCTGGGCTGTGGTATGAACACCACAGCAGAGCCTCCTGCACTTTTGGGCCAGCTTCCAGTGGGCTGTGGCTGCACAATTGGCCTTTGTGTGAAACTGCTGTCATGTCTTCTGGTACCCTCACCCTGCCATCTGGGCAGCTATTGACCAGAAGATGTGCTCATTGTGGTAGCCCACTTTGAACTGTCACAGTGTGTCTTTTTGGCCCCAAATGGCCAGATCAGCTACCTCGTCTGCCCTCCAACTGGGTCCCCAGTGCTGGCCCAGGGCAGGTTCCTCGGCCCAGGTCTTACCACTTGCTTCATGAGCAGAGATCCTGGTGTTCCCCATTTAAAAACTGCAAATGTTCTGATAAAAAACTCAAATTCTCTCATTAAAATACCCCAAATCTGTGTTCTTCCATGATTTAAATAAAATGCCACAATATATAGAGAGGTCAATTGGGCAAAGTTTTATTGATATATTTACAATTTTAAAGCAGTTTGGAAGCCTACCAGTGCCTCTATCATCATAATAAAATGAATTCTAAATATCTATACACTTTGGCATTTGCTTTTGGTTTTTTTGTCTTAGAAAAATCAGAGCTGTCCCTGCCCTCTTCACTCATTAGGATGTGGGGTGCTGACCAGCATTGATATGCCCATGCCCTGCCCCTGTCCTTGCCCCTCACTCTCAACTCACAGCTGTCCCCCTGGTGCCCCTCACTCCTGACCTGGATCCCCTGCCTGTCCCCCACTAGCTCACTCCCGGCAGCAGCTCCATCCCAGCACCAAGACATGAGTCTAGTGGCAGCTGTCCGTTCCTGCTTTGTGGCTCTGACCAGTGCCAGCCCTTGCTGTTCTGCTCCCTGTGCCTGTGCCCAGGCCCCAGTGATCCCCAGGCTGTTCCCAGGAAGCCCTCAATTGGGGCTCAGGGACTGGGCTGGGCAAGCCCCTTCCCTTCCAGGCTGGCCTCCCCCTGCACAGGCTGCTCTGTGCAGTGGTTCTCTAAGCCTGGCTCTGACAACCACTCCTACCCAGACTGACCCCCATTTCTCTCTCTCTCTCACACCCCCCTCCCTGCTGTCACCTACACCCCTCCCCACAGCCCATCACACACCCAAGTGATTCCTGGGACCAGAAGCCTACCCCCCGCCCAGGGCTGCGGCTGCATGTCCCAGTACCAGTGTGGACATGGGGCAGGGATGCAGTGCGTTAGTTGCCCCTGCAGCTATGGCTCTGGCCACCAGGTCTCCTCCCATCCCATTTGGCTGGCTGTTATTCAATATGGCATTCCAAGACATTGCCCCATTAAGCATACAAGCTAAAATGGATATCTAAATAGTGATACATACCAACAATACCAGCCACCATTATAAAGGGGCAAGTGTTTAGAGTCTATACTTTACCCTTTTGGGGCACAGAGAAGTTACATTTTTCATGCAATCAGCCCCCAGAAAGCACTCTACAGCTGAGTTGTGACACACGTGCACGGCTGCAGAGTGCTTTTAAAGTGACCGATTGTGCCAAAACTTAACCCTCCTCAAATGACAGATCAGATGAACTTGCGTTCCTTAGCATTAATTTGTCATTTGATCAGTCCCAGCCCCACCCCTAGGGGTGTCAGAAAAGGAAGGGAGAGGGAAAAAGAAAAGCTGAAGTAAGCTGTCATCTGGGGTTTGCCTGGCCTGTGCAGGAGGGGGGACAAGTGGATTGGATCCCCCACACCAGGGGCAAAGCATAGAGGGTGCACACAGGGAGGGCTCCCCTGGTTGGCACTGCTCCCCTCCCCACCGACAGTGCCAGTGGCATCTGCTCCCCTCCCCCCCCTGCTCACTGCCACTGTGCTCCTGCTGCTGCCAGCGCAGCCATGCCCCCCCAGTTGCCAGGGCATGCTCTGTTCATGCCCCCCGCCTTCTTGCCCACCCTCCAAACCCCCCCAAATGGTGAAGGATGGCAGCCCCAGCTTTGTATCTGTATTGCAATGAGAAATGGTGTGGACTTCAGTATGGGATAGGAACCTGACTATATACGCAGGTTCCTCAGTGGGACTGCGCACTTTGCCCTGAAGTCCATGCAGCTGCATCTTCCTTATTACTGGTATCCTGCCAGAGTGGGTATGCCTATTCATGTACCTGACTGTAGTGCAGACAGCCTTCCATCCTTGTCTACATTTATACTTTCTAGCTGCTAGCACTAGCTTATAATGCTTTGGCATTTTCAGCATAGCATCTAGAAGACTTGTTCTCAGACTACCTGACACCTGTCCACAATTTGACTGAACGAGTTGCTGGCACCAGCGCAACTACTCTGTTGCAGAGAGAAGGGTAGTAAATTTGTGAATTTAAGTAAAGCTTTATTTATGCTAGCAGGGTTCTTTAAAGCCTCCCTATGTTAAAATGACAGCTGGCTGTGGCGTAGATCACTTACTATGATTAAATGCTCTGAGCTTGAGGTGAGAGTTTTGGAGCAAGTTTCATGGCTGTAGCTACATTGCTTAATGAGTGATGCTAAACAGTCTCACCTCTTGTAAGAGATACTGATTCTTCACTTTGGGTCACAGGCTAGAAACGAAATCTCTTACTTAGGGTACCTGTACATGTGCTCCAGCGTGGGTGCAGAGGGGGTTAATTAAAACACCTGCAGTGTCTCATGTATTCAGCATCCCATGTTTCAAAATGGCGGCAGGGGCCCTTTAACTAAAGCTCATTAAATGAGCTTTAGTTAAAGCACCCCCACTGCCATTTTGAAATGCAGGATGCTGAATACATGAGACATTGCAGCACGTTGAAGCATTCTGAATAGAACTCTCCAGCAGACTCAATTGATCAAGTCTGCTCTGACGTGCTCTGATTAGAATACATCGGAACACCTATAAAAGTGCCCTGATAGTTGTCCTAACACCGTGGATGCTCTACATATCATCTATATTTGTTTTTAAAAGCACTGTTTTTCCCTTTGAAGTAAAAAATCCATGCACATGTAGACAGGAGTTAAAAAAGTAACTGTAGTCATGCACATTCACAAAATATTTTGCACAAAGGAAGCCACAAGATCTTTTTCTAGACAGGCTTCTTCTCAACTGGTCATTTCATGCAAGCCATGAATATGTGGTTAATTCTACTGATGTTAACATCGCTACTCACATGACTGAAGGCTTCAGTATTAGTCCTTAGCCAGCTTTGATGATTACTTTATTGTTCAGGACGAGCTTGGCTGTAGATGTCTGCTTAAAGGATTGCAGAGCTCCTGGAACAAGGGCCCTGCTCCCACTGACTCCTAAAGAAATACTATGTCTAATGCTGGGTGTGTTGACACAAGATGCTTTACTGTGCAATAGACTAATCTGCTGTGCAGTAAGGCACCTCCTTCTACACATGCACAGTAGATTAGTCTACTGAGCAGTTCCCTATTACCTGTGTAGATGCCCTGCCAAGGAAAATTTACTGCACAGTATTTTACTGCACTGTAAGCTTACAGTGCAGTAACAGCACGTGTAGACGTGCACGCTGAGTATGACAGAAAAGGGGGTTTAGTCTTTCTTGTAAAGCGTCTCCACCTGGGAGGAGTTGAGTATTTCTTGCTACATTTTTAGCTGTGCTTTTTGTGTGAGGTTAATCAGTGAGTGAGCCCTTGGGTAGTAGATGAGCACAATGTGGAATCTTCTCAGCTTGAGTTGCAACCAGTTTCACTCAAAGGATCTGTGTGGGGAAGTGACCTTGGGGGCTCAATCTGTGGAACGCTGGTCCTGATGAGTGTTGTGCGTAGTCAGTTTTGCATACCTTATATGAGCCCATTCTGAAAAAATGAAACAAATGGATAAAATATGCCTGGAACAATCTACCCTATCTCCCCCTAAAAGATCATTGTAATGTTTAAATACTGACATGCTGGTATATGATTGTTTGGTTTTTTTATACAGATATCGAAGAGGGTGATTACGTTGATGTCTTGCAGTGAATGGCCTAGAACCTGGTTATTCAGAAGCTATCTTTTTAATTTATATCACAGCAGATCAGCTGAAGACTCCTGCCTTGGAAAATATATTCTTGAGCATGGCTATTTCTGCTGGCTGGACATGATTTTCTACAGACTTTTTTTTCTAGAATTCATTCCTTTTTCCCAGCTCATCAGAGCAATGGTCTTCCATCTTTTCAGACATTCTGTACCCTGTATTTATATACCCTGTTAGAAAATCACAATGTGAATATGTTCCCTGGATGTGAGAGAGTGATTGCTAGTAGGCAAGCTGAAATCTACTGTGATCCAAATTCAGTAGGCTCCACTGAGTGTTGAAAAAGAACTTTATGCATGATGTGTTGGCTTTGCCTCATTGTCGGTTAATAGGGTAAAATTTCAATGAAGAGAAACTTTTTACATCTCAAGGATGCATCTACACATACACTTTACTACAGAAGTAGCTCCATAGTAAAGCATCACAGTCTACACGTGCACCAGTATTAAGGCATAGTAAACTAATTAACTCCACCATAAGATTATCTCCAGGGACTGTACTATTTTACAGTGGAGTCATTAAGTGAGACCAGATGCACATGTAGATGATGTCTGCCAGGAGCAAATTGCACCTGGTCAGCCCAGTCTGCTGGCGGCCAGACGCCCAGCTCCTGCTAGCCCCAACACTGCCACAGCCTGGGGCTGACCCTTTGTCCCTCCTGCCAGCCCAGGGATGCTTCGCCCTAGCTCAAATTGCTGCTGTTTAGGGTGCAAGTGTAGATGCTGTGCCCAGGAGCAGTGTACTCCAGAGTAGTACACTGACTTCAGAGTTTGTTGTGTTATGTTAATTGCATGTGTCGATGCATCCAGAGAAGAGTAATATATCCCTGTAGCACTGGAATAAGCTAATACTGCTGACAAAATAGTACAGGCAGTCAACACCATGGGGGGGCGTTGTTTTTTTGGTTTTTTCAAATTTAAAGTCTATATTGTACAGGTTAAAAAAATCAAATGAAAATAACTGAGGACTTTCTCATCTATAAGCAATACAGTTTACAAATTACTTCTACACTCCTAAGTCCTACATAGATTATTTTATGAAGTTTTCTTTATTTGCTATTAGTTTTGGTAATACAACTTGCTGCATACCTTTTAAACTGGAAATGGATCTACTGCTTATAGTTTTTCTTTAAACAAGAACTAGATTTGAAGAGGTAAGGCAAGCTTCTGTATAAAATGCAGTTTAATTTTGAAGGTGATTACTTGTAGCTAGTGATTAGTGTCAGAAACAGTGCAGAAATAATGCACTTAGGTCTGCCACTGCCAGTCTATGATGGGCATGTGTAGACCTCTCTGTATCTATCCCACATCTGTAAAATGAAGATACTTCTCTGCATTGTGTAGGGCACAAGGCTACTTTTTCCATTAATGCTTGAAAAGAGTTCCTGTTAGAGCCACTGGTGCCATAGACTTGTGAAATACAAATATTAGTTCACTGTAAAGGTAAGGGCCTTGTTACATGGTAGTTTTGGGCAGCATCTGAAGGTCTTAACCCCTGAACTGTCTACACATCTGAACAGCTGGAACTAGTTTTAAGCATTCAAATTACACCACTCCAGGGCAGGATTATCTCTGATTCCTGTTACCCAGGTTATCTTATGCTAAGGTGTAGACACTCTAGGCTATACTTTAATGTAAACACATCCTGCTTCCTACCCTCCCCAGCACCCTAGAACCCCCTATTTACTTGTGGCTTCCCTGTGCAGTCTGTTCCAGGGGAGCAGGCAGGGAAGGATTAATCTGCCTGCCCTGCTGTCACTGCAGCTGCTCTCTGGGCCAGAGGAGCAGCAGCTCAGGCAGTAGCAGCTGCTGGGCTGGCGAGTTAACCCTTCCCTGTATGCTCTCCTGGGACAGACTGCATAGAAACTGCAAAAACAGGCTGCAAAAACACGATGCATGCTATATGCTGGGAAAACAGTTATTGCCGAAGATGAGAAAAGGCTGTTTCCTATTTTAGGAAAACTACTTTATGTGTAACTTGCTTGTGTGTATGGTTTGTCATGTGGCCTGCTGTGGGTGTTCCGAGATTTGCATAGCCTCAGCGTTTATACACACACATTTTCATGCCCAGACGCACTGGAGATCTGGCACATTGGAGCAGACTCAACTGAGTGTGGTCCGCGTGCAAGCTGATGAGCAGGGCGCTGTGTTGCTTGCAGTTGTATAAGCAGCAAAATGTGTGTCAGCATGGAGAAAATGGTGGCGGTGCGCTTTTGAACTAAAAAGCTTTCTATGTGTTTTAGTTCAAAAGCAGACTGCTAGTACTTGCTGATGTGCATTTCACTGTTTATACAATTGCACATGATGCAGCACTGGACACTTTTCAAAGCACCTGGTACTGTGGCGTTTGCATGTCTAAAAATACGCAAGGTCTGCCAGGTCAGAAGGACAAGCGTCTGTGTCCTTTTCCTGATTTATACCTCTAAAAAACTTTAATGTATGGCAACATCCTTGAGTCACTGGCAGGTCTTTGTGTCACTAGGCCTCCCGTCCTGATTTGTTTGGAAAGTACACACAACCTGTGGGAAACCATAGTGCAGGGGCCACCAGGAGGTTGGGGCTCACTGTGATCCCGGCTGAGCCCAGTGATGGAGGTAGCCTACAGTTTTGGTTTGTTTGGGGGGGATTCTTATGTTTTCTTTTGAAGGGAAATGATTCTAGGAAGCTTAGTAATTGGAGGAGGAATTAAATAAGGTTTAATTATTTGTATTATTTATTTATTTTTAATAAACTGTTACGTGTTCAAAATCGCTTGAGAGCGGGAAAGTTATTTGTGGAAAGGGGAATCTGCAGCCCACAGGCTGAAAACCGCTGACCTAATACATGGCAGCTCTTCTGGTCCTGCCCATGAGGAGCTGCAGGAGGTGGGCGTTTCCCAGATTTCTGGGTGGGAGCTGGGTGTAAACCCTGCCATATTCGAACCCAGCTTTTGTATTGCTACCAGGGCCTGTGGATTTTTCCCGCATTGCTGGCTTGGAGCTGGAGCCAACCTCCCCGCTTTGAGCCTGGATCCTCTCTGGCTGCCAGGGCCTTGTGGAGTGGTGGCTCACAGAAGTACAGAGCAGGTGGACAAGGTTCTTTGGGTAGGTGTGATATCTTTTATCAGACCAATTTTATTTTATTAGACCTTTTGCATTTAAATATTATTAGACCATTTTATTTATTTTATTAGACCATTTTATTTGTTCATTATTATTTTATTAGACCAAGGGACAGCAGGGTAGGTCCTATGAGGAAAGGTTGCGGGACCTGAACCTGTTCAGCCTTCAAAAGAGAAGGCTGAGGGGGGATCTTGTGGCCTGTTATAAACTGGTTAGGGGGGATCAGCAGGCGCTGGGGGAGTCCCTGTTCCCTCGAGCGCCGCAAGGAGTGACCAGGAACAACGGTCACAAGCTGGCGGAGGGAAGGTTTAAGTTGGACATCAGGAGGCACTGCTTCACGGTCAGGGCGGCTAGGGTCTGGAACCAGCTTCCAAGTGAGGTGGTGCAGGCTCCCACCCTGGGGGTTTTTAAGAGGAGGTTGGATGACCACCTAACTGGGGTCATTTGACCCCAGTGCTCTTCCTGCCATGGCAGGGGGTCGGACTAGATGATCTGCTCAGGTCCCTTCCGACCCTAGAAACTATGAAACTATTTGTGTTCATTACTTATTTTATTAGACCATTTTATGTTTTTATTATTTTATTAGACCATTTTATTTAGTATTTATTATTTTATTGGACCCTTTTTATAATTATTTGTTTTATTAGACCTTTTGTATTTACTTATTACTAGTCAATTGCCCATCAGGAATGAGTGCGGGGGGGGGGGGGGGGGGGGGGCTAGAGCCCCATGCCCCACCCCTGCCTTCTGGACCACTCCCTCTATACCTCCTGCTGCTCGGGGTCCAGGCCTGCTCCTTCTCTCCCTGCTGCAGTAGCAAGGGGAGGGGAGGAATGGGCCTGGGTCTGATGCAAGGGAAGACTGGGCCCAAGGGTGGGGAGAAGCAGGCACACTGCAGCAGGAGGAGCAGCAGGCCCGGGCTGACCCAGCAGTGGCAGGAGAACAGGAGGAGGAGGCTCAGAGCTGACAGGGGAGGAAGTGGTGGGGTGGCGGAGGAGGGGATCTGGGCCCGAGCAGGGGAGGAAGCCCTGGCCGGAGCTGAGAGAGAAGCCAGCCCGTCACGGCAGTGGTGGGGAGCAGCAGGCCCAGCCTGACGTGGTATTAGCTGAGGCAGGCCAGGAGCAAGCCTCTTCCCCACCTCGGGCCCAGACCCACTCTTCCCCCACCCTGCTCCGAGCCTGCTCCTCCAGTTCCTCCATCATGGCCGAGTCGGCCAGGGCCTGCTGCTCACCCTGCCACGGTGGGCTGGATTCTCTGCCGGCTTGGGCTTGGTCCTCTTCCTGTCCAAATGCTTGTTCACACTCTGGTGGTTTGTCAGCCAATCAGTGCACGAATAAAGTGTTACAGACAGACAGACAGATGTAGGCTTTTATAATATTAGAATTATTACTTATTTTACTAGACCACTTTAGGTATTTATTATTAGACCATATTTATAATTATTTTATTGGACCATTTTTATTATTTGCGTTATTAGACCCTCTGCATTTACTTATTATTACTTATTTTATTGGACCACTTGATGCATTTATTTTATTAGACGATATTAATTTACTTTTATTTTATTAGGCCACTTTTATTTTTAATTTATTAGTATTTATTTATTTTATTGGACCATTTTATGATTTATTTTATTAGACCATTTTTACTTGTTTAGCATTATTTATTTTATAGAACATTTTACTGATTTATCTATTTATCGGACCATTTTTCTTTTTTTTATTATTATTTGTGTGTTTTACTGACCATTTTTAATTATTAGATGCTTTACTGTTGCGCTTGGACTGTAACGCGGCAATCTCTCCCCTCCCCCCTCATCCCAGGCAGGAGCAGCCGCCTTTCCGGCCCCCCACCCTCTTGACTTCACCACGGCCCTGCCCCCATAACGTCATCGCGGCTCCGCCCCACCCCCGCTACGGAGCCTCAGGCCGGCATCGGCAGCTCAGCGCTGAGGAAATGTGTGGCCGGGCCCGCTCCTCCCGGCATGCCCTGCGCGCGGGGCGGGGCTCCCGCGCTCTCCCCTGACTGGGCCGCGGGTGCCCAATGGCTGTACCGGCGCTGAATACGAGTGCGGGCGGAGGGGCGCGGCCGTAAGCCCGGCGGCGCGATGGCGGCGGACGCGGCGGCCTGCATGAAGTCGCTGTTGCTGGCTGCGGCCCAGTACCGCGCCGCCAAGACCGCTCCGCACGCGGCGCAGCTGCAGCGCAGCCTCGAGGTGAGAGCGCCTCTCTTCCGCCGGTCCCCGTGACGTCACTCCGCTTGGCCTCGCGGCGGCCCCCACCCTTTCCCGTTTGCCCGTTGGGCTAGGCAGTGACGTTGCAGTGGAGCGCCTCCCCCCACCCCCCGTGTTGTTGGGCAGCAGGGATGAAGGGGGGGTGTCCCCCCCCCCGGTGGCTGAACTGAAGGAGGAAGCCCTTTCCATGCTGCCCAGGCCCAGGGCACTGGGCAGCAGACAGGGAAGTGCCATGAAATAGTCAGGGGCTACCTCCTGTCGAACTCATGGGGGTAGAAATGGATGTTCCTGGGGGAGCAGTCACTTGATTCCCTTCACCCTTTGTGCCACCCATAGTGGTGGCTTCCCTGCTGCCCAGACCTGCTCCCCCCACCCTCCCTGTGGGGCTGAGGTAGCTGGGAAGTATGCTTCCTTGATTCCCCCAGCCCTGTTGGAATGCCCCACATTCCCTGCTGGCCCAAACCCATGAGTTTGGGGCACCAGGAGTGCTGGGTGTTTGCTGCCCCACAAGCACTTCCCCTACTGCCCCTATGGAGTGGGTCTGGAGCAGGAGGATAGCCAGGATTGCCCCCCGCACTGCTGAGCCAAGCTGGCTAGTCAGGAAAGCGCTTTTTCCCTTCTGCCCCAGACCCATGGCCTGGGTTTAGGGTAGTGGGGAGAGTAGGAGTTTTCCCTTACCTGGGGGGCTGACTGAAAAGAGGAACATTTTTTTTCTCCCTGCTCTAGAGCCATGGCATGGATCAAGGGCAGCTGACTTAAACTGTTTTTTTCCCCTGGCCCTGCTGGCCCCAGGGGGGATAACTGAGTGGGGAAAGTGCCCCAAGGTACTAGGTGTCCACTGCAATAAAGCAGCAGAGTCTCTTTCTACCTTTTGTTGCACCACTGATTTTCCTGTCGTGTGCCTAAAAAAAAAGGTAAGGGCATCTATTTGCTCTGCTTTTGTGCCACCTTACAGTTTTCTTAATGTTCTTTAGGCAGCACAAATGAGAAGCTGGACGATCTAACATACACAGATGCCATGCTGGTATCCTGTCTCCAGCTGTTTCGAGCTGCTCGCTTAGGGTTTTATTCTTTTTGGCGGGGGGATTTTAAAGAACAGAGTTGCTTTTGGATCCATAACTGGACTTTGCTTCTTGATGCTGGCTCACTGATACCGACATGTGGGATGTCTTTTATGTCCCAGTGTAGCACCACTCTTTTTGTTGCTGTCTCTTAGTGTAAATGACCATCAGAGTTCATGGTGGGCTCCCTTTTAAACTGCCTTGTTAAACAATATTTTAAATATGCTTTCACCCTGTCTATACCCGATAGTTAATTTCTCTGGTACTTCATTTATTTCATGTAGAAGTAAATGCATATCTTGCCAGTTTCTGTATATAGAAATAAATGCATTGACTACCCATCTCTAACTATATGCTGCTAGTGTTTTGTGTCCC